GCCTGGGACAGAATAACACTAACTAACTGTTTGCTACCCTGATAGAAAGCAAGAAAGAAGCCTGACTGTTCTGGACCAAAGACAGCCAAGAGTTAGAATGCAGAGATACGGGCATTCTTCACCCTAGTCAATGTGGAAATTGGCTAAGGGGTTACAGGGTACAAGGGCAAGAGTGAACATTCATTGGTAACTTACCTCTGCTAGGAGCCCCTGGATGGTGCAAAGAATTAATGCACTTGGGTGCTAACTGAAAGGCTGCAGGTTCAAGTACAACTAGAGGCACCTCAGAAGAAAGACCTAGCAATCTTCCAGAAAGTCAACCATTGAAAACCCTATGGAGCTAATGTGGATGAACTTGGAGGACATTATGCTGAGTGAAATAAGTCAGTCACAGAAGGGCAAATATTGCATTAGTCTGCTATTGTACAAAGTCAAGGAAAGGTTGATACATAGAAAGAAACTTCCTTTGGTTACCAGGGAGGGGAGAGGAGGGAAGGGAAAGTTTCTAGATAGGTGGGAAAAAAACAGATATATATACATATCCAAAAGATTATTAGTGGTTACCAGAGGTAGGAGGGAGGGGAAGGGGGAAGCTTTTGTTTGGAAGGCAATGAGTTTATGCTAATAGGTGATGGAACATTTAGCAAAAGGATAATAATAATGGTGGCACAACATGAAAAATGTTATTAATGAGCTATAAATGTGGAAGTTGCTACATTGGCGAATGTCTTGTTGTGTATGTTTTCACTACAATGAAAAAAAAACTATGGAGCACAGTTCTACTCTGACATACATGGGGTTGTTATGAGTCAAAATAACTCTACAGCAACTGGTTACCTCTGCTAAGAACTATGCAGGTGCTTGAAATGTGTATTCTAATTCAATCCTTACTCCTTCTTTCAACTCCTATTTGCTACATTCCTACTATGTGCCCATCACTGTGTAGGGAGCTGAACACACAGCAGGGAGCAGGGCTGGTAGGCTCCTGACCACATGAACCTTTTAGACTAGCAGAGGAAATAGAACCTGCCTATCACACCATTAATTAATTATAGTTATAATAGATGCTGCGAGGGCAAAGGGTAAGTACCTTGGGAACAGATTATAGAAGGACCAAATGCAGGCTGATGAGACCCACAATGCCTTCCTAAAGAAGGAACACATGCTTAAGCTCTGAAATGTTCATGAAAATTAACCACATAAAGAGGGAGGGAGCATTCAAAGCAATACAGCAGCATACAAGAGGCCCCTAAAGCAAGGACAAGAACAGAAACAACTGGAACAAGGCCCGCAGGACAGGGGAGCAACAGGCAGAAGGAGTAGAGCGAGAGCAGGCTGAGATACCAGCAGGGGCCAGGTCACACAGGGGCCAGAAGACATGAGGGTAACTTGGTCCTTGATTCTAGGGACACTGGGAGGTCACAGAGGGTGACAAGGTGACTGGTATAGTGCTGAGAATTTACAACTGTATCCATCTGTCCTGTACTAGGGTTCTCAAAGTATGGCAGTAGCAGCATCACCTGGCAACTTGTTAGAAATTAAGTCCTCAGGCCACATGCCAGACCTGCCCTATCAGCAGCTCTAAGTGTGGGGCTCAGCTACTGTGTGACACTCAATTTAAAAGATTTACCGGTCACCATCAGGTCAATTCCAATACATAGTGATTCCACGTATTATAGAGTAGAACTGTGCACCATGGAGTTTTCATGGTTGTGACCTTTTAGAAGCAAATTGCCAGGCCTTTCTTTGGAAGCACCTCTGGGTGACTTTAAACTACCAACTTGCAGTTAGTAGTCAAGTGCTTAACCAATTGTACCACTCACAGAGCCTATTTAAAAAATTAAGGAGACTCTTAAAAGTGGGGACCAGCTTGTCTTATGCTAAAATACTTACTTCCATGAAAAATCAGCCCAAAGCAATGGGTTTGTATTTCACGCCCTTGACTTCCACCCTTCAAACTTACAGTGACCTTCCCCAGCCTCCTGCGTCCTTCTGAAAAGGAAGCCACCCCAGCCTTGCCACTTAGGCTGAGGAGTTCTCTCAAGGCCCCACCTCCCACTCCTGGCAAACTTCTTAGTTTCCTTCTCCTTTTTTTTTTCCTGCTAATCATTTAACTTGGCATGGTGTTTTGGACACAAATGAGAGAATGGTGATTATGGCAAGCCTTTAAGAGAAAACCTGGAAGTAGTGAGAAAAGCCATGGAAGTGAGAGATAACTATGAAAACTTAGACATCTGGGCAGAGTTTAAAAGGACGGGGCATGCTCAGCCCTGAGCAAATGTCCCCGTGGGGAGCAGCGGTGACAGTTTTCTAATACATGAGGAATGCATGGAGGAGAAAGGGATCCGTTTTTCCACTCATCAGTGCGAGCAGAGCTAGCAAGAACAGCTTAGGTTTCAGCAGGGAAAACATATGTCATGTGTTGGAGGCATAGCAGCAGAAGAGCTGCCAAAAGGGGTGGTGAAATCAGGCTCACCAGAGACACCCGCAATGAGATCACAGCAGCCGGAGGCACTATCCATCAGGCCAGTCACATCGAGAGTGCCGGACGAGCAGGGTCCGAGGCCCGCCAGACACTGTACAGGGTTCCTTGGTCACATGGCAACCCACCTGGGGGATATGCAGGGCAGGTGCTGACTCGGGAAATCAAAGGGACCCTATGTATCTCTGCAAGACTTTTCAGTCTGCTTTGTTACCTAAAGGCCGGGATTCCAGGCATTTTGTTTCACAATGTCCACTTATCCCTTTCCTACAGCTAACACCTGTCTTCCCAGTAACAGCAGCGGCGGCAGCAGCCACAGCAATCACATGAGTAAGAGCACTGTGCTACTGACCGTGTGCTCCACACCAGCATGGTCCACACAGCATCTCACTCATGCCTCACAGTCATTACAAGACACATTTTACAGATGCAGAAACAGGCTCCAAGAGTGCTACTGACTTGCCTCACTGTAGCCATGTCTGGGATGAGATCGGAGCCCAGATCCTCTGACTTCAGAGCCCGCAATCAGGATCATGCCTCAACGTTGCTAAGAATGAAGTATGGACATAGCCAATGAGGAATTGATCCAAATGTGAACCCTCCCAAGGTGTTGGCGGTCACCTTTACCTGGATGACAGAGACTGGGTCCTTGATAATGTTTAACAGAATAAAGAACAGGTACCTTTTAAAAAATCATCCACTGTGTTTCCTCTCCCATCACTTCACCCACTGCTCCAGATCTGATGATATTTAAAATCAAGTGTCTCCAGAAAGATCCCTGCTTCTGTCCTGTCTCCACCACCCCATGCCTTGCCTCACAGGACTCCGGTCACGTCTTGATGAACTCACAGGGCTGCTGGGAGCATGGGTGTGCTTCACTTACCTCACCCTCTCCGAAACGGGAAATGGCCCAGGTGTTCTACCACAGCCTTGCTAGCCACTAACAGGCCTATGTTTTTTCAAATTCAGGCAACACTCTCCTCAGAGAAACATTCAAGTTAAGATTGTTTAAAGACTACCGCAAATAGAGGAGATACTGTGTAGATAGTGTTATGACAGCTTCTGATAACCCTGGATCCGATTTTTATCCTACCTTCTGTCTGACACAATTCTAGGCTAATCGGGCTTCTCTCATTTTGCCTCTTTCTGGGGTCCTGAAAATGGCTGAAGTGGTTTCTATCACAGACTTAAAGAACAGCCAGTTTTCCTCAGCACTTTGACACCCTCAACACAGTATCTCCATCATGAGGCTCTCTGGGAGCGTCATTCATCAAGTGTTTCAACCAAGGGGACCAGCTGGACCACTGCCTAACATCAAACTTCTGTATTAAATAGCCTATCTTGCCTGGCTTAAAGAGCCACCAGAAAGCAAGCACAGGAGCACGTGCCCTTGAGCGGATGGAAGGTCATTTGTTCGTTATTGGGTTGTACATGTTTATAGCATCAAGCTGTCTCCACTCACAAGAAGTCTGTATCAGAAAGCCTGGGTCAGGGCAGGCTGTGTGTAAAACGTGACAGAACCTGCAGGATTGAGTGGTAAAGTCTTTTCATGCCATTAAGACAAATGGGAACTCTGGTGACGTAGTGCCTAAGGCACTTGGCTGCTAACCAGAAGGCTGATGGTTCAAACCCACCAGCCACTCCTCGGAAGGAATGTTGGGCAATCTCCTTCCGTAATGATACCACCTCGGAAACCCAAGGACGGGTCACTATGAGTCAGGTCCGACTTGATGGCACTTAACAACAACAACAACAACAAGACAAATGTGTGCTGATGTCAGGCCTAGAGTCAGGTAAATGAAAGTTACTCCTTGATGGAAAAGCTGAGTTCAAGCTACACATGTATATTCATGAAGAGTTTTAAACTTTCTCCCAGCCTCTCCAAGCTCAGTGGAGCCTCCAGCAGGCTTTTCTCTCATGGAGAGAGAAGCAGCAGCCCAGAGAACCAGGTAAGTCTCAGCCCTGTGGGGAAAAGCAGAGGCCTTCCAAAGTTTTTCTCTCCCGTCTGCTCTTCCCAAACTATATATGGGAGGGTGGGGGACAAGAGGAGGCAGAAATGACCCTGGAGTCTGGTTTCATGAACTCCAACCTGTGATGCTGAATGTCACATCCAAAACAATCCAACGAAGATAAACACTCCCCAGTCAACTCAGCCAAGACATGCCAACTGTCACCCATACAAGTCAGCTCTAGTGGATTTTCCAACAGGGGATCTGTTTATTCTGCACACCCCATCTTCCCTGGGTTATCGTTTGCAGCTCTGTTGCCACAATGCCCAACGTGCACCCACTGTGTTCACTAGTACACATCTGGGATGCAGATGGATAGGATTGGGTATGTTGTTTGAAGAGGAGTACAGGAATGCTCTCTCTGTGTAGCCAGCTGGCACTCTCTAGCATCCTACCAGTAACCAGCTTCATTACACCAACCACGGCTCAAGAAGCTCCAGCTCCTAAATTGTTACCCATCCCTGGAGAATGCAGAGAATAAACAGTGAGGTAAAATCAGAGTTGACTACCTTCATGGCACCCATTGCTTGGAATGTCACAGCTAATCTGGAAGGGGTCAGCGCTGCCAGCATTGCATTGAATCTTGCACCCTTATTCTTAATAGGTGAGTGGTACTGTCCATCTGGAGCCACAGAACCAAACCTGTGGTGGGGGGAGAGGCAGAGGTAGAAAAGAGAGGTGGGGGTTACCAAAAAAAGAAAGACATGGCACCCCACTAGAAATGAAAACTGGCGGCTCACACACGCACACATAGGAAAGCCACAAAGGTTTCTAGATGCTGAAACTTCCTCATGAGAAAGAGAGCAGACTAAGGGGACCTCCCCAGGAGACACCAAGAAAAGCTTGACTCATGGAAGGTAAGACCAGGTTTCCTACCACTACTAACCTGCAGCCTCAGCAGTGGCCCCTAACAAAGGGAAGCATGAGCAGCACCGTCATTAAACCAACATCAGAGCCTGAGTGCACAGGTTGCAATCAGCCTATTTTTCTTTAATGGAGATATAATTCACATACCATAAAATTCACCCTTTTAAAAGATAAAATTCAGTACAGTTTTTACTACATTCACAAATATGCCAATATCACAATTAACTAATTCCAGCATGTTTCCTCCACCCAAATTGAAACCCTGTGCCCAGTAGCAATCATGCCCCTTTACCCATCTCCCTTCAGCCCTGGCAATCACTAACCTACTTTGTCTCTATACACATGCCTGTTCTGGACATTTCATGTAAGTGGAATCATCCATTATGTGGCCTTTTGTATCTGCCTCCTTTCTCTTAGCATAATCTTTTCAAGGCTCATCTATAGAGTAGTTTCTATTAGTACTCCACTCTTTTTTATGGGTAAATCATATTCCACTGCATGGACACACCACACTTTCTTTAGCCATTCATTAGTTAATGGTCATTTGGCTTCTTTTCACTTTTTGCTTATTATGAATAATGCTATGAACATTTGTGTACTCTGATGTGTGTTAACTCGGCTGGGCCATGATTCTCAATGGTTTGGCAGTTATGATGTAGTCATCCCCCATAATGAGATCTGATATAATGTAATCACCTCCATGATGAGACTGGATCTGTTGTTAGCAGCCAATCAGTTGAAAGGAAGTTTTCTCAGGGGTGTGGCCTGCTTCCAAAATATATGGACATTCTGACAAAGCTCTCAGGCTTTTTGGTCTACATGGACCCTGCATCTGACTTATCATCCTCTCACGTCTGGTTCTTTGGATTTGAACTAGTAGCCTGCCATACTGCCCATCAATTCTGTGACTCTTGCCTTTGCAGTCTATGAGTCAGTAGCCTGCTATCTTACTTGCCAGTCTTGGATTTATCAGCCAGCAGCCTGCTGTGTCACCTGCTGATATTGGACTTGTCAGTCCCTATAGCTATATGAGTCAGGAGATGCCTCTACCCTGATGTCTGACCCACAGACTTGGGACTTGTCAGCCTCTACAACTGCATTTCCTTGAGATAAATCAGTCTCTCTCTCTCTTTCTCTCTGTCTGTGTGTGTGTGTGTGTGTGTGCAAATATATGGAGCTCTGATGGTGTAGTGTCTAAGGTTGATGGTTCAAACCCACCAGCCACTCCTTGGAAGGAAGGCTGGGCGATCTAATTCTGTAGTGATACCGCCTCAGAAACCCAAGGAGGGTTAACTATGAGTCGGATCTGACTTGACAGCAGTGAGTTTGGTTTTCTATGTATGTATCATTGGTTTTGCATTTCTAGAGAACTCAGCCTCAGATATGCACAAATTTTTGTGTTTCTCAATTCTCTTGTGGAAAAGGTTTTCATATATGCATAGGAGTGAAACTGCTGGGCCACACGGTAATTCTTTGAAAAATTGCCACACTGTTTTCTAAAGCAGCTACACCATCTTACATTTCCACCAGCTCTTCATGAGGGCTCAATTTCTTCACATTTCACCAACACTTGTTACTGTTTGTCTTTTTTATTCTAGCCATCCGAGTGGGGTGAAGTGGCACATCACTGTGGTTTTGATCTGCATTTCCCTAATGACTAATGTGAGGAGCCCTGTTGGCACAACGGTAAAGTCCTGATACCCACAAGTTTAAAGAATAGAACACATTCAGCAGCTCCACAGGAAAAAGACCTGGTGATCTGTTCTCATAAAGATTACAGCCTAGAAAACCCTATGGGGCAGTTCTACTCTGGCGTGAGGTGGCTAGGAGTTGAAAATGGACTCAGCAGTACCTAACACCAACAATGACTAATGATGTACAGCATATTTTCATGTTCTTATTGGTCATTTGTGTATCTCCTTTGGGGAAGTGTCCATTCACATCCTTTGCCCATTTTTAAATTGGATTAGTTGTCTTTTAATCGTTGATTGTAAGAGTTTTTTTTTAATATATCCTGGATACTATATCCTTATCAGATATCCAAATATTATTTCCCATTTTGGGGGTTGTCTTTTCACCTTCATAATGTCTTTTGATACACAAAAGTTTTTCACTTTGATAAAGTCCAACTTACCTATTTTTTTCTTTTGTTGCTATTTTTGGTATTATATCTTAGAAATCAGTGCCCAATCCAAGATCACAAAGATTTACACTTATGTTTTCTTAGAAGAGTTTCATAGCTTTAGTTTTTATACTAGGACTTTGATCCATTTGGAGTTAATTCTTGTGTACTGTGTGAGGTAAGAGCCCTGTTTTATTGTTCTGCATATAGAGATCCAGTTGTCCCAGAACTATTTGTTGAAAAAATTATTCTTTCCTCATTGAATGGTCCTGGTTGTTATTTTGTTGTTGTTGTTATGTGCCGTCGAGTCGGCCCCGACTCATAGCGACCCCTCCTTGGGTTACCGAGGCAGTATCACTACGGAAGTAGGATTGCCCAACCTTCCTTCCGAGGAGTGGCTGGTGGGTTTGAACCGCCAGCCGTCTGGTTAGCAGGCAAGTGCCTTAGCCACTATGCTACCAGAGCTCCCTTATCAAAAACCAATTGACCATAAATATTGGGTTCTTTCTAGACTGTTAATTCTATGCCATTGATCTATATGTCTATCCTTTTGCCAGTACTATACAGCATTAAGTATTGTAGTTTTGTCCTAAGTTTTCAAAGTATGAGTCAAAGTATCAGTCCTTCAAGTTTTTCAAGATTGTTCTGACTATTCTGAGTCTCTTACTTTTCATATGAATTTTAGGATCAGTTTGTCAACTTCTCAAAAAAGTCATCTTGGATATATGCACACCCATGTTCATTGCAGCACTATTTACAACAGCCAAAAGATGGAAACAACCTAGATGTCCATCAACTGAGGAATGGATAACCAAACTATGGTACATACACACAATGGAATACTATGCAACCCTAAAGAATAAATGATCTATACTTTCCAATTAGTTGTCAATAACCTGGAGGGGGTGGTTAGGAATGACAGCCTAGACAGGGAGCCATGATACCAAGAGCCAGGCCACCTTGAAAGAGCCATGAGATCACACACACAGTAAACCAGAGTTAAGGAGAAAACTACTCACTTATCCAGCAGGTTCTCCCTTGGTACCCGGACCTTGTCAAATATTAAAATTCCATTATCCACACCATGCAGACCTAGAAAGAAAAGAAATGAAATGGAGCTGCAAGGGGAAAATCTATGTGATCATCAGAAATATTGCCCCACTACTTTCCAGATTTATTTCCATTAAAATGAAAAATCCTTTATTTTCCTTCCAGAGCCATTGATGCTTTTTATTTGGTTCCAGGAGAGAGGTCGTTGTTTGCTTGTGTCCTCGGAGAACCATGTCTGTGTCTTTGGCCTAGCTAGCCCACTCCTCCCTAAGGAGAACTCTTCCTTCTGCATAGCCCATATGTTTGGGCCTCGGGTAGGGGATCTGGGGGTGTTGAGGCACATCTATCTGCCCAAGAAGTTACTGTGATTAAGGAAGAGAAATTACTAAGCAAATGAAAGAACATGAAACTGAACACAGAGAAGGCAGAACTCAAATTTCTCCTACCTCTTGGTGCCTCCTACCCAGCACATGGGGTGAATTTGTGAAAGCACATGCCTAACAGGCAAGGGAAAACGGATAGCAGTGGCTTAATGGCCTTAACAGTTTCTGAAATCTTCAAGACCCATCTCCCAATAATACCCACTGGAATCTGGGGTCTACTTTTTTGTTCATAACCACTTAGGGAGATTTAATCTGGTAGAAAATAATATTTATTTAGAAAATGTCTTTATTTAGAACATCACCAGTTGACAAGGACAAGCTTGCATTTGGGAGCTTACAAGGAAACCAAAGCAGACTTTCTGAAATCGCCAGTGTTTCAAACGCCTGGCACCACTTCACAAGAGCTGGGCCTACCCCTGGGCTCTCAACAACACTTGACACATGCGTTGCTTTCAAGGGGCTGGGTCCAATAAGGCCATAACTCACCCCTCAAGATAAATTTAAAACACTTGCAAACCCACCTGCAGTCCATTTCTGCAGCTGTTCCAATGGCCTGAATGAAACTAAGTTCCTCCACTAAGCCTCTATCTTCTTCCCTGTTCTCTCCCTCACCTCTTTCTTTTTATGCTCGTTTTCTCCTTCTCCCTCCACCCCTCTCAAGGTCCCTGAGTGGTACAAATGGTTTGGCCTCAACCAAAAGGCTGGCAGTTCAAACCCACCCAGCAGTGCCAGAGAAGGAAGGCCTGGTGATCTGCTTCCATCAAAATTCCAAAAAAAAAAAAAAACCTCACCACCATCAAGTTTGATTCTGTAAATCTTTACAGAAGCAGACTACAAATCTGTACAGAAGCAGACCACCTCATCTTTCTTCCACAGAGCGGCTGGTGGGTTCGAACCACTGATCTTTGATTAGCAGCCAAATGCCTTAACCACTATACCACCAGAGCTCTTTTCCACTAAAATTACAGCCAAGAAAATCCTATGGAACTCAATTTTACTCTGTAACACATGGAGTTCCCATGAATCACTCCACAGCAACAGGATTTGTTTTTGTTTTTGTTTTTGTTTTTTTAGGTCCACCCCTTTCTTTGGCTTGGGTTGGCCTCGGCTAGGATGGCCAATGGAGCCCACAGGCATGGCTGGTCTCACCGAGCCAATCCTCAGGACTCATTGAGACCTCATCAGCACAAACGCCAAGCTGGTGGCTTAGGAGCAGAAGGGGTAGACTCCACTTACCCTTTGAGAGCTTACAAGCCTAAAAAGGAGAGAGAGTCAGAGCAACATCAAAGCAAAGTTGGAGAAGTTAAGAGAAAATGAGACCAAAGAATATTCATCAACAGCAACCTGCAACATCTTCTAACAGTTCTATGTAAAAGACTCTGGATTCAGCTTCAAGAATCAGAGTCTTCTCAATTTTCTCTGACTTCAGAGTTTCAGTGAGTTAGGTTAGATTCTCCTTTGGGTGGTGGTGTAGGGAGCAAGCAGGAAATGCCAATGAGAGTAGAAGAGGTGTAACCTGGGAACTCACCTTCTTTGTACATCATGTCAATAGTTGTCACTCCTGGATACAAGTTTCCATTTTCATCCCGGATAGGCACAATGAAACAGTGGGGCCCTAAGAAAGGAGAAGAGACAGAGTTATTAAACTCTCCAATTTTTTTAAGAAAAGAATAAAGTTTAATTAAGTTCCTGGAATAGCATAAAATTATTTTGATCCCAAAACCCATTCATTTCTCTGACTGTGCACTGCACATATAGTGGGTAATGTTAAAATGTCCCGGCAAATTGTATCATCATGTATATTTAAGAGATAAAGTATCTAAGAACTGAATTTTTAAAAAGATAAAAACAGCTCTATGGGAAAAAAAGGGAGTGTGGAAACCAAGTTTGCTGGTCTGATAGAGCCTGGTGCAACCCCTGAGACTATGGCCCCTAGCTGCCCTTCAGGTATGGAATTGAACCTACTCCTGTGGCTTCTAGCCAAACAAATGACAGGCCTATGAGGTGAACATTTACATTAGGTAGATACACTCTTTGGAGAGATCAATCATGGGAGAATAGAAGGGCTGTGTATGCACAGAGAGACAGCTCCTGGAGGCAGAAGTGCGTGGAGGGAAGGATACAAGGAAGAGGTGGCTATGCGGAGGAAGTGAGAAGAGAGCTGTTGCATTGTGGGAGACTACAGTCAATGTCATGAGACAGTGTATATGAACTGCTGTATGGAAAACGAACTTGCTTTGTAAACTTTCACCCAACTCACAAAAATTAAAAAAATAAAATAAAAACAGCCCTATGAAATGAAGTTTTGTGTAAAGTACCCATTGACAAATAGTAGTAAAGAGAATGATTCCAGTTTTCTGTGTTGGTGACAAACCTTGAGATCTTCCATTTATAATGAGCTGGGCAAAGACTGTAGCATAGTCCCCATGCATTGCATTGCCGATGTACATCTTCTCTGCACTTTCACACGGTGTGTTAATTACAAACTCCTGCACAGAGACAGCAGAGCAACAGACTATATATCCTTTCTCATGGCTCATATCAACCTCTTGACTCAATGCAGTGAATACTGTGAAAACAGATCCACATGGTACAGCCCCACATATTCAGGTGATTTCGCAAACTCGCAGCACAGAAGACAAGCAGTCAGTCGCCTGGCTGAACCTCATGTAGTTAACATTGCTACGTTATCACCTCAATTCACAAATTTTACCTCCACCACCACTTCCAAAATTATAGTACTTTTTAAATGCATACTCTAATTAGGAAAATAAGCTGCCAATTTTCCATCAATAAAAGATGTTCCTTCCTTTACAGTCCCTTCTTTGTAATGTTGGGCTGAATGTATGCTATTAGGCTGAGCCGGCCTGGCTTTCAACTTTCATATATAAAGTCTTTCCTCAATTATTAATCTCTTTCTCTCTAGACTACTTCATACTGGAATGTTTACTTTCAGACAATCCAATACCAGTTTTAAAAAAAAAAAAAAAAGTCATCAAATTGACTCCAACTCATGATGACCAGTGTGTGTCAGGGTAGAACTATGTATGCTCCACAGGATTTTCAATGGCAAATTTTCTAGAAGCAGATTTCTAGGGCTTTCTTCTGAGTAGACTCAAACTTCTAATCTTTCAGCTAACAACTAAACACGTTAACCATTTGCACCATCCAGGGACAGACAATCCAACACCAAAATCATTTTCTAAAATCCTTGATGATATAGACTAAGCCCTCCACACACTCAGCCCGCCTGCAAAGTTCACAAGAAAGAACAGAATATCTGATGATCCGGGGCCCTAATTGGATCGTTCCAAAGCTCACGTCTTATGTTTTTCGTTTTGTCGCTGGTCTTTTCTCCTTCTGGAAAAATGACTTGGTTCCACGGTTGATAGGACCTTGAACATCCCTGCCTCTATGACATGGGTCTGCTGCTTAAACATCAATAAAGTAACCAGAGACTGGAATTTTATGACTGCATGCAAGCCAGGCTAACTCCATGCCACCACTGCATAGAGTATCAGGCCACATAACTTGGATTTTTATATAAAAAAGGAAATTTTATTTAAGGCTTTGGATGACTATTTCAGAATCCACTTCTTTATTTTCCTGACCAATTTTATATTAATAATTTTATATTAATAAAATTTTATATTAATAAAAGATTCAAAAAAGAGGTTTGTACATATAAGCCCTTAAACAAAACACCTGTAAATGATTCCCTATCTAGTGAAGGAAAGAACACCAGACGGTACCACTGTTGTCTCTGTAAAATGACCAAGGATTCCAGCTCCAGTCTGAAAACCTATGCTGGTCAGAAAGAGTCCAGAGGAAAATGGGGGCTTTTTGTTTTCAGCCTCTGCTCAAAGCTTGACCTCCTTTTCCATCCTCTCTGAAACAAAGTACAAGGAACAAGCCAGTACAAGGACGATGATGGGAACGCTCTCCTTTATTTCTTGCTTCTTCCCAATCCTATTCACCAATTGGTTCACATTTATACCTCTTCTTGCCCAGAAGCACTACCTTTAACTGCCAGCTCTGGACACAGGGTACCTGGGACAGAAGGGGGAGCTCAGGGAAATGGCAGAAGCGCAGAAGAACAGCAAATTTAATTGGAGTTGAGAATATTGACGTGCTGGCTGAACTAAACCAACAAGCTATTGATCACACAAAGATTATCTCAGATTTCAGATTTTAAAGTACATAGACTACACTTTTTCCTTCTGGCCAAGAAATACAGTTTTGAAGCCTAAGACAACATTCTCTGACTAGTGTTTGCACAGAGAAACTTGTAACATGTGCAAGTGCTTTTCAGAAATGTAAGTGGACACACAGAAGTCTCTGGAGTCCACCATTGTCTTGTCGGGCCAGCCATAACTTCTCAAAAAGAGGAGTTACTTAAAGCTGAGGTACAGTAAAACAATAAGATAATAACAACAACACAACTCATGTGGGTGGAGTGGTGATTACAACTCGGAGGAAGGAAGGGAACTAAGAAAGGAAATACTGGCTGGCAGAATAGATCTGGTGGGGTGGGGTGGGGAGAAGAGCACGATGCCATCCATCCCCGTAAACATCTGATACACTCTGTGGAAGGAGGTTTGTCACTTCTGGCAAAACACTGGATTTGGAAAGCCTGCCTCAGCCAAAATGCTAGAGTTAAAGCTGGATCTAAATAATGCACACCATGTGTGTCAGTTACTCTTGAAATTGTTTGTTGAAGGTCAACAAAATGGTCAAAGCTGTGAGCACTAAAAAGATGGCTTTGCCAGAGAGCTCCTTAATTGACCAACCCCACTTATTTTTTTGCTAATTAGTATGAAATGTAAAGGTAAATCTCTCTCTTACCTCTTAACTATCCACACCACTACCCTAATCCACTTCCCTCCACAAAATAAAAATGAATAACTAAAAAATGTAATAGATTTAAACAGCCCTTGAGGGAGAGAAGGCTCATCTGATATGCTCTAACATTTTAAAGGGGAAATGAAGGGGAAAGCACAGAAACCAATGAAGGGAGAAATCCATTCCCTGCAATGTCAGATCTCAGTGGCTTGGGTTTCTGATGGGCTTGTTGTCTCTCCCACCCTCATGGGAGACAAAGCGCTCACCAGAGCCTCCTCCTCATTATTACTTCAACTTCACAACTCCCCTACGAGAAAGCGGTAGCTGCTGGGGCACACCAGGTAGCTAAATCATTTATGCTATTTGGGGAAAATGGGACCAACACAGGGAAATGATTTTTGTGAGAAAAGAAAATAGTTGTCAGAAGAAAGAAATAAGTAAGAAGTGTGGGTTTCTCCCCACTAACAACCTCAATGCCATGGTTTGGGGAAGGAAAAACTGGCCAGCCAAAACCCAAAAGATGTTGGCTCAGGGTCCCATCACTGGCTGTTAAGAGCAGTTCTCCTTGAACCTAAGACTCATCAACTAACATCACAACCATAGGAAGCATGGTTCACATAACCTCTGTGAGCCTCAATGTCCTCATCCAATCAAGATAAAGTGTTGCAAGCAGTTAAGGCACTTGGCTGCTAACTGAAAGGTTGGTAGTCTCCACCCAAAAGTGCCTCAAAGAAAGGCCTGACAATCTATTTTTAAAATGAGCCATTAAAAACCTTATGGAGCAAGGGGTTCTACTATGAAACACATGGGGTTACCACAAGTCAGAATCAACTGGTCAAGTGCAACTGGTTACTGGAATAAGACCATAAAACATTTAACAAAATGCTATATGCTTAGCCTAGTGCCTAGCACATAAGTGCTCAATTAACAGTGATGGCTCAATGTTATGTACATGGGATTATTGTTGTGAGGAAATACATACTCTACAAAGTGAATGTGACACAGAGCTTAGAATAGGTTGTTGTCGTTATTAGGTACCATCAAGTTGACTCCAACTCAAAGTATAATAGAACAAAACAGTGCCTATCCTGTGCCATCCTCACAAGCCTTGCTATGCTTGACCCTATTATCACAGCACAGCCACTGTGTCAGTCCATCTTGTTGAAGGTCTTCCCCTTTTTTCACTAACCCTCTACTTTACCAAGCATGCTATGCTTCTCCAGGGACTTGGCGCTTCTGACAACATGACGAAATTAGGTGAAATTAAGTCTGGCCATTCTCACTTCTAAGGAGTATTCTGGCCATACTTTTTCCAAGACAGATTTGTTCATTCTTCTGGCAGTCTATACTGTTTTCAGTATTTTTTGCCAAGACCACAATTCAAAGGCATCAATTCTTCTTCAATCTTCCTTACTCACTGTCCAGCTTTCACATGCATATGAGGCTACTGAAAATACCATGGCTTGGATCAGGCACACATTAATCTTCAAAGTGACATCTTTGCTCTTTAACACTTGAAGGAAATCCTTTGTAGCAGATTTTCTCACTGCAATATGTCATCTGATTTCCTGACTATACTTCCATGAGCACTGATTGTGAATCCAAGAAAAATGAAACCCCTGACAACTTCAATCTTATCACCATTTACTGTGATGTTGCTTATTGGTCCAGTTATGAAGATTTTTGTTTTCTTTATGTTGAGGTGTAATCCATACTGAAGGCTGTAGTCTTTGATTTTCATCAGTAAGTGCTTCAAGTCAACTTCACCTACAGCAAGCAAAGTTGTGTCATCTGTGTATCACAGGTCATTAATGAGTTTTCCTCCAATCCTGATGCTGCATTCTTCTACATACAGTCCTGCTTCTTATTTCCTCAGCATCAGACTGAATGAATATAGTGAAAGGATACAACCCTGATACACACCTTTCCTTTCAGTATCTCCTTGTTCTGTTCAAATGACTGCCTCTTGGTCTATGGATAGGTTCCTCAGGAGCACAATTAAGTTTTCTTGAATTCTCATTCTTCACAATTTTATTCATAATCTGTTATAATCCACACAGTCAAATGCCTTTGCATAGTCAATAAAACACAGGTAAACATCTTTCTGGTATTCTTTACCTTCAGCCAAGATCCATCTGACATTGGCAATGATATCCTTCATTCTACACCCTCTTCTTAATTCAGCTTGATTTTCTGGCATTTCCCTATCGAAGTACTACTGCAAATATTTTCAAATTATCTTCAGCAAAATTTTACTTGTGTGTGATATTAATGATATTGTTCAATAATTCCAGCATTCTGTTGGACAACCTTTCTTTGGAATGGGCACAAATCTGGATCTCTTTCAGTTGGTTGGAAGAGGTAGCTGTCTTCCAAATTTCTTGGCATAAAAGAGTGAACATTCCCAGTATTGCATCTATTTGTTGAAACACTTCAATGGGTATTCTGTCAATTTCCAAAGCCTTTGTTTTCGCCAATTCCTTCAGTGCAGCTTGGACTTCTTCCTTCAGTACTATCAGTTCTTGATCATATGCTACCTCCTGAAGT